AAAGCCCTAAAGCCCTAAAGCCCTTACAAACCCTAAAATGTAGTCCCCGCACTCCCGGCCATGGCTCCTGGCGAGAGGCCGCAGAAGGCCAGGCGAGCCAAGGACTCTCCGAAGCTCCGCGGAGCCGACCCGATCCTCCCGAAATCCGCAGCTTGCTTAGGGTTTAGGTTAGGGCTTAGGGTTTAGGGTTTAGGGCTTAGCAAAACCCTCCTGCAAGGCCTTCCTGCAGAAGCTGTCGGACTTGCCGGGAGTTGCGAAGCTCCGGAGGCGGAATACACCGCGGGGCGGTTGAAAATGTCAGTGAGTGCCATGTAAGGACACAGTGGAGACAGGTGCCTACCATGCCGAGAGCCCGAAGCTTCATTTAAACCACAGGGCGAGGTGGGCTTGGTGCTCTTAAATGCTGCTGTTCCTTATTTATCCTCACTTGTCAGTGCTGTGGTCATGTCTCGTTTTTTGTGAGCCCCGCGGATTTGATCCGTTGAGAACCCTCAATGAGTTAGGGTGTAGGGCGTAGGGTGTAGGGTGCAGTGTAGTGTTCAGTGTTCAGCGAGACGGGTTCCGAGTTCAGGGCCTGTAAAATTTCAGGCATTGGGTCAGGGCAAGGGTGTAGGCTGAACAAGGCTTCAGAGCGACCCTTTCAACTCGGCTCAGCTTCGCATCCCAACCCCGGAACTCCATCCTCAGCTCCCACATGTCATCTTCGTCCTAGACCTTTGAGGCTCGAGACTGTAAACCCGTGTCATGGCTTCCTCAGCGCCCGTTCTGCGACTGCTGCGCCTCCTCGTCTGCTTCCCGTCTCTAGCGGCGCCGCTTTGGAGCTCTGAGGAGGCCACGCGGTGGCGAGAAGAGAATAGTAAGACAATGGGTTTAGTGGGTTTAGGGTTTAGGGTTTGGGGGGGTGTAGTAAGAGTGGTGGTACTGACGCCCGCAGTAGAAAGCGTGGACATCAAGATCTAAACGGTTTTGCAACAATGTAGTGCGGAGGTGATTAGAGCAAGAGCGAAGTTCTCACCTCTCTGATATGAGAAACCACCAGGCAATTTTTGCCCCAAAAACGGAGTTCCTGGAGTCCGTCGGCTGTAGCTAGATTCTAGATGCGCAATACCGTTTTCTCTCTGTACTAGTCCCCGTGTTATTGTCTGGCCTTTCAAACCCTAAACCCTAAACCCCTAAACCCTAAACCCCTTAACCCTAAACCCTAAAGTCCAATACCAAGCCCCGGAACCACAGTCTGTGTACACTGGCCCGGCTAGTGTCCGACACAAGCAGGAGACCCTTCTCGCTGAGTTCAGTGTGGTGCAGACGAGTTCGCTGCTGAAACCTCTCTCCCCCGTCGAATCCCCGCATTTCGAAGCAGCGAGCCGTTGGCATCCGCGGTTCGACCACCATTTCTGGGATGCTTTCTCGCCGTGCATCTCCTTTTCCTGTCGCGGGAGAGACATGGGCCATCGGCACCAGATGACTTGGGGCCAAGTCTTGCCGAGCCTCCTTGAAAACGGAGTTTGCGAGGAGTGTGTCTACAATGCATGCGAGAAGCCGCGGATGTTCCAGCTGGTCCGGGCACCGGCCAATGCCTTCAGCAGCCTGGGTTTTGTGGCGGTGGGCCTCTTCGCTCTTTTCGTGACCTTCCTGGACCTCCTGCATGGGCCCTCTCGGAGACAGGGGCCGGTGATCCTCCACGGAATACTCTTCGGAACAGTTCTGGTGGCTGAAGGGGTCGCCTCCTTTGCCTACCATGCGTCCTTGTCGCTGCAGATGAATGTCCTCGACTGGCGGACAATGCTTGTAAGCTTCGCAGCTCAGGGCTTCGGGCTGGTGACTGCCAGCCAAGCTTTGGCTCGTCACACTGTCAGCAGCTGGCTCGTCGCCATCCTCTTCATGGCTTACTCCTTGATCCTCTTGCTCAGCCTAAGTCTGAGTTGCGGATGCTTTTGCTCCATAGACGAGGCCTGCGATAGCCCTGTTTGGCCGATGGTGTGGCTGGGCACTGGGCTCGTTTGCCTGGCAGCTCCCGTGTCTGTGGAGTGGTCTTTTTCCTACCAATGCTTGCAAGAGCTCCAAGGCCAAGACAGCGCCCAGCTCCGCATCGTGGCTAATGCTCGCCGACTCGTTCGATGCTTCGTATGGAGCTCGGTGGCTCTGTGGCTACTCGGATACGCCTGCAAGCTCCTGGACGACCACCAAATCATGTGCCGGCCTTCGTCACTCTTCCAATTTGTGGGACTGATGCATCTCGTGATGGCCACGGCTATGCTCTTGAGCTTCCTCGCGACGAGGACATGCTCGAACCTCCTCGTAGTGTCTTTGGAATCCGACCCATTCAAATGCCAAGCAAGCGCTCAGCCCACAAGGGGCGCAGTGGGCGGATCGATACCAAACTGATAAGCAAGAAAAAGTTGTTGCTCTAATTGCTGGGAGGTGGTTCTTGAAGTCCAGGGGCCTCCAAGACGTGCACCATCTCGCGCTGCAAAGTGTAGTGCAGTCCCTGCTCAAGACGCGTGCTGCAATGCATGCCCCAACACGTCCTGAAGAGGTGATGCGGACATGCCTGAAGCTTTGCAAAAGGTCTCCAGTAGCTTATTGGAGACTCAAACGCCCTACACCCCGTCAACCCGCTCCTCGGCCTTCCCCAACTTCAAATCTGCGGCCCGACCTAAATCCTATTCTCCAAAGGGATAAAGCTTGTACGAGTGGGGGGATTGTGGAGTACCCTAACTTGAGTGGAAGTCCGGTCGCAAAATGATGACATGCGGCGACTTGGACGACACGGCAACAGCCTCTGGCTTTTAACTCCGCAGTTTGAGGTAGATCATGGCGGGACAGTGGCTGCAGCTTGCAAACCAGACTAAGTTCGAGGATTTTCAGGTGTGGCCTCTGATCATGCCATGCTCTCACACACAAGCTATGCTACGCCGCTACGCTTTGTTCCACAGAGGCCGCTTCCGCGAGGACTGGCCGCGGCTGATGTCAGGCCAGATTCTTGACTGGTCCTCTTGATGGTCCGAGATGGTTGTCAGCGGGATTTCTCCTGCGAGCGACTTTGCTTGGGTGTCGGTATGGGGTGGCACTGGTTTTTGATCTGGGATGGTGATGCTAGGGTCAGCTGGAGGCTGCTGTGGATGGGAGATCTGTGGAGCACGCTGTCTGTTTGTCTTACCCGTGCTTTTGACTAGTTGCTGTCGTCTCTGCCTCCCTGGCTCGTCTCAAGTGGTTCCGAGGTCAGTCTTTGTATGCACTAGCACTTACTGGCTTGTAGGCATAAACAAATACACATATGTATTATGCATATGCACATAGTCTTACAGTGCCAGGATTCTGAGGTTGAGGCTTCAATTTCCGTAGGTTAGGGGCTTAGCAGGTAACCTTTCACCCGTTGGGGCTTGTATCACCTTATACCATAAATGGAACCAGGTTGACCTGTTTTGGGGCATGCGGGGTACTCAGCCCCTAAGCTTCCAAGTTTAGCTATAGGCAGGTCGACCTTAGCGCTGCAGCTCTCACTACTGCCATCATCAAATCTTCCGAAAAACCGGACCCCCCCCGCACCCTGGACTCTAACCCGAGACTCGCACACCCGAAGCCCGCCGAATCCCCCCCCACACAGACCCCGAAGCCGCCCCCACGATCCCGAAAGGGTTTAGGGTTTAGGGTGTAGGCCTCATCCTGTTCAACATAGTTTCAGATGCCGTTGATCGGCGGATGCGAGAGCTGGCTCCGCAGTGAAGCTGCTTGCTCCAACTCCGGGCGAAGTGGAAAGCCTGTTGCAAAAAGGGTGTAGGCCACATCTCCCGCCATCCTTGGCAGGACGTCAGCTCCTGCCTCTTCTTGCTGCTGAGGGGACCCGGGGCACCAAATCGAAACCGACCCCGGGCCTCCAGGTGGGAGGAGTTAATGTAGGGGCCTTAATAATTAGGATAGGGTTTTGGGGGGTTCCTTATTATAACTATAGTAGAATATCCCCAAAACCCTATTCTAATTATTAAGGCCCCTACATTAGGGTTTAGGAGTTTGGTTATAGTTTCGAGTACAAGCCCCTGGTTCAAAAAAATGCTGAATTTCACTTTTTAGTGTTTAGGGTTTAGGGCCTAGGGTGTCGCGGTCTCAAAAGCTTTTTGTCTGGATTTCGGCGGCCGAGGACATAACATGGGGTTGCGATGGCTTTCGTTTTCAGAAGGGGATCTTACGTGTCGGGATACCGCCGTCAAGAAGTGCATTGGCGGCGAAGCCGTCTGGAAAAGCTGGTGCGTTTGAATCCGACTAGGCTCGGCATTTTCAAGCGTATATTTGCAGGGACCCTAAACCCTAAACCCTATAGGCCCTATAAGCCCTAGACCCTAAATTACAGGGCCCCGAGTGGCTGATGGGTGGTCCGGGAGCTGCACCTAAGGCCACAAGTGCCGAAAGCTGACAGCAGTCGCAAGACTCCTGCGAAACCTGCATCTGGGTAGTTTTCTAAAGATAGGGTCCCCTTTTAGGGGTCCCTTTTTATAAGGGTGCCGTACTATATTGGGGACCTAAAGGGGGACCCTAATTTAGAGAACTACCCATCTCTTGGCCGTTTGGACTGGCGGGACAGGTTCGCAAAAAGGGCCTCCAGGTGTACAAAATCCAGGGACGTTGCTTGCCGTCAGAATCCTAGTGCAAATCACAGCAACAGTACCGGAATCCTGCTCCAAGTGGCAAGTGCGAACTCCACAAATCTTGGCTCACATGCTGCTTGCTGCTTTTTGTTGAGGCTTAGGGCACATAAGGGAGTGGATGGAGCTCACCGGAGCAGGGCACCGCTTCAAGAGGTGGGTGTAACAGCAAAAGCCAAGACACCACCAGCTCGGTGCTCCCAAACTTCCCAACCCCATAACCCCTGCCACTCCGAGCCCGAAATTACTACATCCTTGCACCCTGAGGTGCAGCTTGTGCCTCGTTCTTGGGTTTCGGGCTTTTCTGCCTTAAGCTTATGAAACAGAGCTTCGGCCGCTGTGCATGGAGCTGACTGTAGACGGCGATGCAGGGGAGCTGACGCTTGGCTTCCTAGGTATGTTGCATGATTCAGTACTCTCAGTCCATAGGCAGGGGTTTGTTCCAAAAGGTTTCAAGCCGGAATCCAAGCGGTTTGGCGGGCAACCAGAGCTTGGGCGGGTCTGCAAGCTTTGTGAAATGGACATGGCTCGAAAAGGTATTGGTTTTGACTTTAGGATGCCTCTGCACTAGGGTCAGGGCAAAACCCAACACTTGATTTAGAAGTGCAGACAGAGGAGGAGACACCCGGTTGGTACATGTTTTGCCAAGGGCCAAACAGGCAGTCAAGAAGAAGCGATCCCTATGCAGCAATGCAGGGGGGGAATTCGGTGCAGCTCGAGCTCAGGACGCTTCGAGAGCTGAGCCCAAGCTGCAGCATCCGCGATGTGCAGCTTTGGCCAAAACACTTGTCGAGCCTTGAAACAATCCCTACACTCCAAAGTTAAGTGCAAGAGCCAGTTTCCACGAAACCTTCCCAACCAACACTGAAACTGGGGTTTGGGATTCTGCAAGGCGTTCAGAAAATCCAGCGCGGCCAGTAACCTTGAACCATCCTGGCGCAACTTGTCCTGCCATGCGCGAAGCAAAACAATATCCTGGAGCACTTGTAAACGAGGCGCTATCTGCCACCGAAACCCCAAAACCCTCGACCCTAAACCCTAAACCCTAAACCATTTTGGCTCAAGTGTGGCTCGTACCGTTTCCGGTGATGTCGCTCGTTTGCATTGCAGATTGTGTTATCCCTTTTGGGGAGGAATTTGGCCGGTCAGATCGACTCCGCGACTACTGCGGTTGGGGCTTAACGACCTCTGGCGTTCGTTATGTCCGATCGCTTCTTGAGTCCACGGTGCTTTGCTCCGCCTATTGGGATCATGCAACGAGTGAGGTGGTCATCGTTTTGACGCAAACAGAGAAGGATGAGAACGGTACTTTGGCGCCACCAGTTCCCGCTTGTTGTGTTGGGTTGTTCGGTCTGGTGTGGAATGGGAGTAGTGCGTCGGCAAAAAGGAAGAGTAGCAACGGTTGGCGGTCGACACCAGACTCTGTCAAGGCAGGTTTGCCGTTGGTTGGGACGCGCCATGCTTTGGCACACTTTGCGTGTAGCCGAAGTGCACATGTTGTACACCATCGACGTTTTGCTCAGTTGGCGTTCGAGGCCGGTTTTCGTCATGAGACTGTCAAAGAACAACCTGGGAATGAGTTGGTTATGATGTTTGGCGGTGAGTATGCAAACGGTGTGCCTGTCCTCGGCTCAGGGCCGTTTGTCTCAGAACATTCCGGGCAGCCTGTCGGTGTGCAGCAAGAACGCACCCTGTATGGTGGCAGCCCCGATCAGCCGTTGGTCCATGTTGCCTTCAATGGCTTGTCGACCGACTATATGCTAGAGCTGTGCCCGCAAGGTGAACAGGATGACTACTCGTACACCGTCGCTGTTTGTGAGGGTGCGACAAAGGACCTCTGTGAAAAGGGCTGTCTGGCTGGTTTGGCGCCGATCGTCTTTACAACGAGGGCTGATGCCTCATCCCTCGTTTTGAATGCATTAAATGGCGGACGGCCGCTCAGCAGCCGCGGTGTGCCTGGCGTAGAGGTCCTTTGCCCGCCTGTTTTCAAGTCAACGTGGTCCATGAGAGCGGTTCAGAGTGAAGATCGGCTTCATTTGTCGGCTTTGATGAAGAGAAATATCCGAGGGCTTGGGTGCTTGATGTGCCGATGCAGTCAGAAGGTGGCTATGTTGTGACTTTGGATGCGACGCCATTGCCGATCTATCGTAACGTCGGAGATTTCGAACGTTACCGAGGTGTCGTTGAGCCGATTCTTGGCTCACCGGAGCTTGAGACGATGGCCACAGACAAACTGCGGGCACAAGAAGTGGCACTTGAGTCATGGATTGGTGCTGGTGGGAAAAGAACAATGCGGCCACGTGGGGCACCGGTCGTCCAATGTGAAGGGATCCGATTTCGGCTCTTGGTCGAGGTGACAGGCTTGAAGGCAGAAGGACAGCCGGGAGAGGACTCCTATTTCAACCGCTCGCTCTCACCGTTGTTGTCACCGGTTTTGCGGCAGCGTGCTGAAAAGAGATGAAAATCATGGGAGCGCTCCTTGGGTGCGAGGTCTGGTTGTCATTTGAATTTTCCGGTGCAGTCTTTTTTGCTTGGTGAAGCGTTGGAAGAGTTTTTGGTTGGTTGTAATGATGAACAGGCTCTGCGGCTGTTGCAGCAATGACCGTGCTCGCAGGACGGTGGCTTTGAATCACGGATTGGCGGTGAGGAGTGGTTGCCGGCCTTTTCTCAGCTGGATGCAGAGTTCATTGTGAAACAAGCTGAGGATCGAGGCATCGGTGATTCTGATGAATTGTTCCAAAGGAT